TCCTATAATCTTTTTCATTATATATATATGCATGATTAAAAATTCCATTAGAAAAGAAGTTTATTATGAAAAATTTCTTCCCTCACTTCCAATTTTAAAAAATATTCGGTATCAGAAAAGAAATTTATATATATATGAAAAATTATATATATATGAAAAATTCCTTCCCTCAGTTTCAATTTTAAAAAATATTCGGTATCAGAAAAGAAGTTTATATAAATAAGAATTTTTATATTTTGTTTCCTTTTTAGAAATATATTAGGCGTAAAGGAAACAAAATCAAGCAATTAATCTGTCCCTTCCTTTTTTTATGACGATCAAGTAATTAATCCGTCCCTTCCTTTTTTATCATGGCCATTTAATTAGGCGAAATTGGTTAGAAAACAATTAGTACCTTCCTTTTTTATCACAATTAAGTAATTATGCAATCATAGCCGTAGATCTTGTTTGTTCCTTGATATCGACGGCGCAGGAGATGAGTGCATTGGGCGGGAAAATAATTCCCCTGCTTTTAAGAATAGAGTGACTAGTAAACCCTTGTAGAAGTATAAAATTAGGTAGTAACCTATAATTGGTGAAACGGTCTCGACTATTGCATTATATCATCACATTTTCCCTTCATGGAAGTTTCACAATTATCTCATGAGCTATATTGTCTGATCATTTGATAAAATAAATTATTTTTGTCTCTTCTTATTCTGTAGATTTTTAAATATAATTTTAAATGGTGTGATTGTTTTATTTCTATACTAATTTGTAAATATAATTATTTTAAAAGATGATTTCACACATCCTTTCGTCTCTAGACAGACTACTTAACATCTTGTTTACCATTCTAGGTTTTCCCATAACTTGTGTTTAATTTGTATGTGCATTTTCATTTTGATCAATTGATGATAAAATAAAACAGGCATTGTTAAAACCCATTTTATAGACTTCTTGATTTCTTTTTAAAATTTGTAAGTTATACTTGTGGTTTTTATATCAATTTGTAGATTAAATAATTTCAAAAAAAATGAGATTTTCTACATTGTTTGAAACATGACATTAATTTTGTGACATAGGAAGTAGAAGATAAAGTCAAGGAAAAAGAGGATAGACAATGTCAAAAGGCTAGCTAGCTACTATGGGTAGAATTCCTTTGCTCTGTACTTGAAGAAGAAATTTTTGCACTAAATAGTACAGAATATTAAAATTTAAGTCTTTTTCCTAAATAACATTTAAATTATTTTATTTCTTAAATAGCACTTATTAATGTTCAGAAAAATGAATAGTATCCAGTGAAGATGAACTTTTACTTGAATAATGACTAATGGATAATGATTTGAAGTGCTACATTCAGAAAAAACACATATGACATTATTTGGGGATAATCATTAGGTTTTAGTTCTATTTAAGTAATTTCTCTCTTGAAGAATCCCACTTGACATACACCAAATTATCATCCCTTGTATTTTTTTTAGGAAAAAAAAAGGATTAGACAATGTCAAATGACTGCTGGCTAGCTACTTTGGATAGAATTCCTTTTGTTGATTAATTATCATCCTTCTAGACTTGGAGTGATTATAATAAGGGAGTATAATTATAGGGAGTATCATTCTAGATGTCTTCATTATAATACTCCCTCCGTCCCATGAAACATGGAACTTTTGCTTTTAAGGAGGGATTTAAGGGAGTGTATTTTGGTATTGAATTTCCAAAAATGTCCTTTGATGTGATTGGTAAAAGTATGATTTGGTGGATAGATTATTAGTAAAAAGGTATGATGTGATAGTTAGGGTATGAAAAAGTAAAGGGTAAAAGTGACTTTTTAATAGAAATGAGAAGTGTTTTGTGGGACGGATAAAAAAAGAAAGGAGAAAGATTTCATGGGACGGAGGGAGTAATATAATTAGGAAGTATAACTATACCATTTTAGATGTCTTGATTAATTATCATGTTGATGATTTTAGACTATTCAAAAAGATGTTGATAATTTTAGAGTCATCAATTATTTTATGTAATTAAATTTAGTTAAGTCAGATATGAATTTGAGAACGAGTTAGGAGGTGCGAAATGTACGCTCATTCAATTATATTACAAATTCATAATAGGGGTCCGAGGGTGGCAGTCCCAGATAACAGATTCCAAGGGGCGGCATGCAGTCCCTGGCAGGGTCAAAGGGGCAGAATCTTTAAATTTTTGTAAATGATATCCAAAACAAATAATATTCAATCATATGAATATACCACTACTAAATATCAATTCGCCTGTTAGCTGCACATATTTAGAAGGGGATTATTCTGCCTCTAATTAGCGTAGAATTAATGGGAGATTATTCCCCCTCTATTTGAAATTTTAATTCGTGGGGGATTTGTCCGCCTCTAGTGTTGCAGCTAATTGAAATAAAATAGGCGGCACATCCAAAAAAAATATTAAAAATTAAAAAGAATGATTAAACAAAGTCCAAATTTCTTTTTAAAATAGATTTAAAATAGAGGCAGACTTGTCCCCCACTAATATCAAATAAAATAATGGCGAAGCTATCTCCCGCTTATTATAAACCAAAAATATTAATTAAATTAAAAAGCAGCAAATATTTCCCCCTCTAATATATAAAATAAGAAAACAGGCGGACTTTACCCCGCTTTATTAGTTTTTCAAAATTTAAATTTATTAATTAATTATAGGGGCATGATATTTGCACTCCAATTAAAGAATACATTTATATACTCCGTATATCGCAATGAAGCTAAAACCACATGTTCCTGGATGAAAACAATAATAAAGTAATTATGTTGCTTGTTTCGCCAAAGTAATGTGAAATTGCTGTAGAGATCAACCACAATCACCCAACAATAGCACTTTCTCTCTCACAGGAAAGCACACAAGAAGAAAATAAAAACAATAAATCAAACACGAGAATTGTTTACGCAGTTCGGAGATCTCTGCTACATCTGCGGGGCCCACGTTCGTGTAATAGCCCTTCCACTAAATCATTGTAAAAATTACACCTTCAATCAGTAACGGTACCAGCTAGTGGATTGAAAGAATCTATTACAAATGACTTTCACACTGAACTCTGCTCGTGTTACACCCATCGGCTTATTACACCAACCTCGATAAATCTTGTTATTGGATGTGCTATCAGCCCTTCTAAGTTCAACACCTGGATTATGAGTGCAGCACACTCATCATAGAGATGCAATCAGCATGCAGAGTATCAATCTACTTGTGCTTGAACCAACTACTTATTAAAGTTGATCAGAAGGATCCAAGCATGGTTCCCCATTTGATCTGTCTTCTTTACCATTAGGGCTTTGCTTCTCTCAGTCCCTCACAGAGTTTCTCTCTATATTCACCCCAATCCCCTGGCGTTCAAAAGTATTTATACCAATGAATTGGCGAGAACCCTAGCATGGTCCTCATAGGATTCATCAACGTTGAACACCTCTACGTCTCATAGGACTCTTCAAAGCGCAAGCTAATTCCACCAGACTTCTAAGCACACACGGAGTAGGATTTGGTTTGCAATTGTAGTTGTGTGATGACTTGGTAGGACACTACAACCCAATAACTATAATTAACCGACTAATTGTTTTTGTCATAAAGAATAATGCCAACTCCTAACATATTAATAGCATACGTACATAGCCAAAAACCCAACATAATGTTCTTTTAATAAAGGGAATCAATTTTTTTGTAAAAAAAGCACGAATTTCCAATTTTTTAATGATACGAATCATACTAAGATTTTTGTAAAAATATTTTTTTTTAATATTGTACTTTTTTCTGTAACTTTTGTTCATCATATACATTATCTGATCTGGGTTTTTTACTGTCTAATTATTTTTTGTCATACATTTTGTTTTGTTATTGATTTTTTCTATAGAAACTACAAATGAAGTGGGAGTTGAAGAGATTAACTAAATTTCTTCCATAATTTCAAAATCGACAATGAAAAACATAAAAAATATTATTTCATTTCAAGGGTTGACTTTTTGAAATATTCGATCTGAGTTTACTTTGTCATTGTATTTGCTATTTCCAAAGCTTGATTTATTTTTTAAAAGTTGCTTTTTGTTGAATTTATAAGGTTTAGTTACTCGATTTAACAATTACTTTGTTAGTGCGGGCTGATCCGCCTAAGCAAATCACCATAAATAGGACTAAAACGTAAAGAAGTACCTAAATAAGAGTTCTATGTTTTTATTCTCGAAATAGACGATTTTGAATAAATTAAGTTTTTAGTTTAATTTTATTATCTTAAACTACTTTTGAGAAACGGTATCTCAAAATCCATATATTTTTATTTGGACAGAACTATACACCTTTAGTCACGAATTCGAATATGACCATCACCAAATTTAATTAGAAAAAAGATGTGAAGGAATTAAGAGGAGGGTGAGGGAGGACGAAGATGAGAGAGCCTAAATCAAGGAAAAGGAGGATAGACAATGTCAAAAAGGCTAGCTATATATCTATCTACTTTCATTTGGGTAGAATTCTTGTGCTAATTAATTAATTATCATCCTTCTACCTTTATAATCACGTGTCCTTCCCATTCTAGACGGCACCGAGTCTTAATCACAAGTCACAACTGTATAAGAAGGTAAGAGGGTCTTTGGCAGTGCGTTACTTTTAATAATTTAGCTTCTGGTTTGAGGGGAAGTAATTTTATTTTGTTTGGCATGTCAGCTTCTGCTTTTCACCACCACTATTTTGTATATATAACACCGTTTTGGAGAAGCAAGTATGAGATGATTTTGCTTTCAGCTTTTGTAAAAATCACTTTATCTATAAGTTAATCATTTCCAAACACTCTCTAAGACTCCCCATGTGATTTTTCGAAAATAACTGTTATTGTGATACTTCCTCTGTCCATGAAAACCTTTCTCCTTTTTTTTTCATCCGTCCCAAAAAACACTTGTTATTTCTATTAAAAAATAACTTTTACCCCTTACTTTTTTATACTCTACCTATCACATCATAGCTTTTTACTAATAATCTACACATCAAATCCTACTTTTACCAATCACATTATCAGAGGACATTTTTGGAAATTGAATACTAAAATACACTCCCCTTAAATCTCTTCAAAATCAAAACATCCCATATTTAAAGGGACGGAAATGCTTTAGGATAATGGAGGGAGTATATATATAAAGCATATAAGTGGACGATGTGATCACCAAGCAAATAAGGGAGATGGAAAGATCAAAAATGGAGAGTGGAGTTGATGAAAGGGAAGAAGAAGGGAGAGTAGTGGTTCTGGTGCCATACCCTTTCCAAGGGCACATGACCCCCATGCTGCAACTAGGACACGCCCTACACTCGAAGGGCTTCTCCGTCAAAATTGCCCACACCCAATTCAACCCCCCCACCCCTTCCCACCACCCTAACTTGTCCTTCCACAACTTAGCAGACGACGGAGATGATATTCCAATTGATGATGTGACCCAAAGACTGAAATCCATCTGTGACATGAATGAGAATTGTAGGGTACCCCTTCGGGAGTATCTGGAGAAACTGGGTGACGACGTCCGTTGCGTCGTCATCTATGACAACCTCATGTACTATGCTGGCCACGTGGCTTCTCTTCTCCGTCTCCCTTCCGTCGTCATGCGCCCTTTCAGCGCACTTTTCTCTCTCTTTGTAGTCCATCTTCTTCAACATGGAGATTCTCTTCTTCCTCTTCCTGGTATGTATGTTCATATCTATCTATCTATCTCTTCATTTTAAGCTCAATATTTTTTTGGGTTGATTTTTTTCTAAAATAATTTTCATTTTATAACTAAAAGTGAGAAGTGATGGATGAATTATTAGTGAATATATACTCCCTCCATCCTAAAACTTTCTTCCCGTTGCGCAAAACAAAAAAAAATTCCAAATTTTTTCAATCTATTTTATTTAAATATTGGTATAGAAATAAAAAATAAAACATACATATTTAAAAACTACATCAAAAGTTCAACAAAACAAGTGGTGACAAGAATATTTTATTTTATCATATAGGTCATGAAAAAACACAAATAAATATAAATTCCCGTGAAGTTGGAATAGTGCTCTGAGAAGAAAGTTTTAGGACGGAGGAAGTATATATGATGTGAAGATGTGAGAACTCTCTAGATATGAGTAAAAAAAAAATGAAAATACCAAAATAATAGGAGTAATAAATCTTTTAAGATCAAAATAGGAGTTCAATTTGTTATTGTTACATACTCACACTCACCGCATTGTCACATTGTAACTGCGACACTATCACCGCCACACTGACATCTGTCGCCGCGGACAACCAGAGTCCCGATACAGATCGCTTGACTAGTCACACTAACATATTACACTGTCAACATATATTCTTACATACATCATATTTCCATTATACTCTGGGACTTTTATTTTGTTGTTTTCAAATATTTTTTTACTCATGTTTAAGAAGATGTCTTAAATAAAATAAGTGTTACTAAGATTATGTAAATAAAAGTCCTCCTGATTTTAGAATAATAAAATGTGTTGCTGTTTTTAGGAGGCGACGAGCAAATAGAATAAAGATGAAGTAGTGTGTCTACTAGGAGAGACGAAAACAAGAAGAAAAGCACAAAATTAAATAAAAAGAGGGGAGCATCAAGTTGGGAGGGGATGTGAGTCCAACTTGATAATTTTGAACAAGAAGGGTTGGTGGCTAAAAGTTAAGAAAGAAAATGCAAAATTATATCGGGCACAAGATATTAAAAGGGGAATTTATTAAAATCTTAGTAAATACATTGTTAGTGGGTTGAAAGAATTAAAAAAAAAGAACAAATTTGTTGAAAAAGATTAATAAACTATTATAGAAAAAAGAATGCAAAATTCAAAACTAAATAAAATTTAAAAAGAAATTTTTTTTAACTAATTGGTTGAATACATAAGAGTAATAATTTTATATATTAATAAAATCTTCTTTGTAAAAAATAGTTTAGTGTCATTTATTAAATTTCTTTTGTTTTGACTTGCACTAACAGGTTAGAAGGAAAGGCAGTGACTTTTTTGACAGGTAATAAAAAGTTTAGTAGCAGTATAGTAATAAAAAAACACAATGGTATTTTTGACAAAATATAATAGTTTGATGACATTTTTTAACTGCACTCTGAAAAATATTATCTCTGGTCCAAAATAAATGTCACTCTCTAAACAACATGCAAAATTTTATGACTTTTAAAATTATTTTAATTATAAATTATTATAGAAATAAATTGTACTCCCTCCGTTCTTTAAAATAGTTCCTCTTTTGTTTTTTTATGGTCCACAAAACACTTCAATTTTTTTTTTAAATGACTAATATATCCAAATAAATTCATGGCAATAAGCTCCTTTCAATTTGTATTGATATAATAAATTATTTTAATGATTCATATCCTTTTTTTCTTCAAAGTTAAGAATATAATTAGAAGGTTAAACTACTAATATATATATATATATATATATATATATATATATATATATATATGTCCCCAGTCAAACCAAGAATAGTTTTAGGAAGCTGAGGAAATATAAATTACACTGTTCAAAAGTATATTTAAAAATTTTGGCAAAATAAGAAGTGACAATTGACAAAAATGTTTTATTTGATTTAATGATCAATAAATAACATACAAACAAACATAAATTATCGAGAGACTATAATAATAATAAGAACATCCATTTTGGGATGAAGGAAGTAAAAGAAATTTCTTATATAGGAACAAAACTTAGCCAAAGTACCAAAGGTGGTGACCGGCGAGAGTGGATGATAGTATGACAATGTGGTGACTGTGGTAGTGATAATGTAACAATAAGAGTGCAAACTTTTATTTTGGTCTTATTATGCTTAGGATAACGATTCATATTTTGGTATTTTCATACCTTTTTGCGCTTATTTAGAAAGTCTTCTCAAATATTAATTGTTAGATTCTTGTGTTGTTGTACTCCAATTGATATTATGGACCATGCTAGGGTGCCACCACATGGGTACTACCATGGGTGCACTCATGCTTCACACAGACAAACACAGACGATAATTGTCTGCGCGACATAGACCATTATCGTCTGTATTTGTCTGTGTGAAACATGAGTGCACCCATGTTAGCACTCATGTGGTGGCACCCTAGCGTTCTCCTTGATATTATAGTGGAAATTTAATCCAAGAAGTGTTTGGAAAAGCCCCTAGAGCGACTTCTTACTTTTTACGCATTCATAGAATTTATAGGGACTTGGTAGGCATTTAAAGTCATTTAAAAAAAGATGAGCCTAATCCCCCAGGGCTTCCTCATATCACTGAGAGGAAGAAAATTGGACTTTGATGATAGATTAATAACAAAGAGTAGAACTTGCACCTGATACTTGTAGAGGTTTTATGCTTAGCATAATTGTCTTCCAATGCAGTTACTAAGAATCGAACTCAAATTTTATCCTCTGTCACTTGTTGGTCCTGCCAAGTACGCAACACCTAGTGACATTTAAAATAGTTGAGGAGCATTTGAACTTTAGGAGCACTTTCAAAAGATATAGGGACCTAGCAAGCCACTAACTCCATAAAAAGTTGTGGGTTGGTACTTTATTTCTTGCACAATTTTTTTGCTCCTTCCGTCCCAAAATATTTACAATATTTGCTTTTTCAGTAGTCGCGGAAACCTTTGCTTATTTTTATGTTTTCATTGATTATTTGATAAAATAAAATATTCTAGACACCTCTTATTTCAAAGAACTTTTCATGTAATTTTTTGATATGTAAATTTTATATTTTATTTCTATACCAATATGTAAATAAAATGAATTGAAAAAAACTGGATATTTTTACCTCGGGAATACAAGTGTGTCAAATATTTAGGGACCGAAAAAGTATTTTCTATACAAATTAGAAAAATATTGTGGAGCACTTTCAAAACTAACAAGCCACTAAGGGCAGTAACTCCATAAAAAGTTGTGGGTTGGTACTTTATTTCTTGCACGTTTTTTTCTATTTTCTATACAAATCAGAAAAATAGTGTGTTTTCTATTTTTTGCCTCCTACATTCTTCTATAGAAATTAGAATAACTACGTGTCCAAGAGAATATAATGTCAAATTTAATATCACTAGATTTAGTAATGGTGAAGAGGGAATGAATGATGAAAGTTTCTTTTGTCTCACATTAAAATAGTTACGTCTCTTTTTCATTGATTATTCGATAAAATAAAATATTTTTGTCATCTTTTATTTTCTAAAACTTTCATGTAGTTTTTTAGTATATACATTTTAATAATTGTTCTTATGCTAGTTTTTAAATTAATTGATTAAAAAATTAAGATTTTTATCTCGTAAATGAAAACTCATAATCCAATTTGTGCGAAGAGAGTTTAGGATTGTATTATACCAACTTCATCTGAAAATGTTCTTCTCATTTGATTTTTTATAATCTTCAATGTTATATTTTGACCATTAGTATCTATGTTTAATTTATACTCTCTCCGTCTCATAAAGTCCTTCATGTTTCAAAAAAATCGGATCCCTAAAAGTCCTTCCCATTTCTATTAAAAAAACATTTTTACCCCTTACGTTTTCATACCCTACCTATCACATCATACCTTTTCCTAATAATCTACACATCATATCCTTTTTTTACTCATCACATCAAGGGTATTTTTGGAAAATCAACACAAAATTATTCATCCTTATTTTACCACTTTAGTCAAACCGTCCCTATCTGTATGGGACGGAGGGAGTACATAGATATACTCGCATTTCATAAATATTTGATATTTCAAAACAACATTTCAAAAGAAATTAATTGATATTAAACTTATATAATAAAATATTGCACATTTTCCATCTTCCAAAAAGGTTTGTATCCAAGAAAAATTTCTTAGATTTAAAAAGATGTATCCCATCTGATCTGCAGAGTCAAAGCTTGAGGATGCAATTCCTGGGTTAGATCTCTTGAGGTACAAGGACATCCCCCCTTACATGAATTCTGAAGAAGCCAAATATTTCATGTCCATTTCAATGGATATAGGATCTTCGGTGGCCATAATATGGAACACAGTAGAGGGTCTCGAGCAGAAATGGCTCTCCAGGCTTCAACAGCTCTACAAAGTGCCCATCTTCCCCACGGGCCCTTTTCACAAGTTTTCCATTACTCCCACGAACACTAGCTTCTTGGAAGAAGACACAAGCTGTCTCTCGTGGCTGGACAAGCAAGCTCCTCGGTCGGTCCTCTTTGTAAGCGCGTCGGGGAGCATCGCCGAGGTTGAACAAGGAGACTTTGCGGAGATTGCCCGGGGGCTCGCCCACAGTGGCCACCCTTTCCTTTGGGCCATCCGCCCCGGATCCATCAAAGGTTAGAGACGAATAACGGCAAAGTTAACGGAAGGACCAACCATGCATGCATACATATAACGCTAACGTGATTATATTTTTTATCTTCTGGGTAACAGGCATGGAATGCAAAGAGGGAGAGATGGAAGACTTGGAGAGGAGAATGGGAGAGAGGGGAAGGATAGTGAAATGGGCGCCACAGAAAGACGTTTTAGCCCATGGTTCGGTGGGGGGGTTCTGGAGCCACTGCGGTTGGAATTCGACGATGGAGGCCCTGGGGGAAGGGGTACCCATGATTTGCAGGCCAGTCCTCGCCGACCAATTCACGAACGCCAGGTTCTTGGTCCAAGAATTGAGGGTCGGGCTGGAATTGAAAGAGTTGGAGAGAGGCGTGATTGCAGAGACTGTTAGAGAGCTTATGGGGGAAGGGGATGAGAGGGACAAGCTGAAGAAGAATGCCATGGAGATGAAGCGGAAATTAGATGATTCTTTCAAGAGAGATGGATCCTCACACAGAGCTCTGAATGAACTTGCACACTTCATTTCTTCGCTCCCTCGTTGTGAACCTCGAATGTAATTTCTTTGACGGTGAGCAAGGGATAAGATCTGAGTTCGATTTCTGACAACTACAGTTGGGAGACAACTATTAAGCATATGGTATGTAACAGGTCTACTACCAATCTATTATTAAAATCCAATTTACTTCTTCTCAATAATCGTCTGGCCTGGCCGGGTCTTAGAGATCCTTGGGCTCCATCCTTTTTTCGAATGTAATTTCTTTGTTTTCCTAATCTTACATTCATGTGTTCGTGTGTTTCATTATTCAAGTCATTTGATTAATTCCCAATCACACGGATCCTTGGGTGTACGTGTCTATGTGTGCGTGGAAGAAAAAAATTAAATAAGAAGAGATTCTCTCTTTGATATTACTCTAATCCCTTCCTTCTAGCTAGTTTAAATTATCTATATTCCCTTCATTCTCAAAAACATTTCTTCTTTCATTTTTCTTATTTTCAACAAAATATTTCCATTTTCTTCTAAAAAATCAATTTTACTCTTACTTTTTCATACCATACCTATCACATCATATTTTTTTTCTAATAATCTAGCAATCACATCTTACTTTTAGCAATCACATCAAGGGCAAAATTGAAAGTCAATTACAATTTAACATTTCGTTATTTTTACACTTGGTCAAAATAGAAACTTTCTTTGAGAACGGAGGGAGTATTTAGTATTTATAAAGTCAAATTTTAATCACGTTATATATTTAGTCATTTTTACTATCTATTTGATAAAATAATAAAATTTGTCTCCTCTTGTTTCTAGATCTTTTGATGTAGTTTTTATATATGTAAATTTTATTATATAATTTCATATCAATTTTTAATTAAATTAAGTCAAAAAAATTCAGTCAAATCTCGCAAACAACAAACCATTTAAATTGGAAGGGACGGGGTAGCTTCTCTCTTAAAAGGACTATTCATTAGTATTCACTTCTTATTTCTTAATCCTTTCAAATTACTCCCTCCGTCCCAGTGTGTTTGTCCAGTTTGACTTTTTCGAGTTAAACTGGACAAACTTTAAACTTCAATTAAATAAAAACCGTAATATATTTTAACATAAAAACGACTTTATTAGATTTATCGTATTGAACAACAACAACCCAGGTGAATCCCACAACAATAGGGTCTGGGTAGGGTGTGTGTACGCAGACCTTGCCCCTATTCGAAAGTAGGGAGGCTGTAGATTTATCGTATTGAGAACATTCAAAATTGTATTTCATTATGCTAATATTCAATATAAGTTAAAAGTAATTAGAGCTCAAAATTTGTTCAGTTTAACTCAAAAAAACCATATTAGACAAATACATTGGGACGTAGGTAGTAATTTATATTATCAATCACAAGGCACGCGGTTTTAAAAAATACTACTCCCTCCCTTTTGAAGTGTATGTCCACATTTAACTTTTTTGGTCAAAATTGGTAAACTTTGACTCCAAAAAAAGTTTTATTAGATTTATTATGCAAAATATTTACAAAATATAATTTTACTTAGTTAATATACAATATATATTTTACTTGATTATAAGTCAAAGGTGAAAACGATTGATTGAAAAAGGTTAAAAATGGACAAATAATCTAGGATAGAGGTAGTAGATGTTTTGACGAGAACCTTGGGTAACATTTAAGATGGATGTGGTCAAAGTATTATACGATACTGGACAAACTTTAATCATTACTTTTTCTCAATTTACATTATATATTCTCTCCGTCCAAAAACTATTTTCCCGTTGCGCGTTACAATGTTAGATTGAAGTTGTTTTCAAATTATTTTATATTAAAAATGGTGTGGAATTTAAAAATAAAAATTACATATTTAAAAACTATATTAAAAGATCTATAAAAGTAGATGTGACAAGAGTATATTATTTTGTCAAATGGACAACGGATATAGGTCAACAATGTGAAAAAAAGTTCGATCCCGTGAATAGTGAACGTGAAGATAATTTTTGGACGGAGAGAGTATTAATCTACACAACCGTCCTTTTGATCGTGAAACCTCGGGTCACATTATGAATCGGGACAACTACGATGCTACATTGATAAAATTGAGTCATATCCCCACTAAACCCCCACACATACCCCATGTACAAATCGATGATTTGAGAGGGGGAAAGGGGTAGAGGGTGTTGGAATGAGGTGCTGGGGGCTGGATCCATTATGACTCGGGACACCTACGGTGCTACATTGATAAAATTGAGTCATATCCCCACTAAACCCCCACCTATACTCCATGTACAAATCGATGATTCGAGAGGGGAAAAGAGATAGAGGGTGTTGGGATGAGGTGTTCGGGGGCTGGACCGGGATAGCTGGGTAGGAACCATCAATTTTACGAATGGAGCACTCTAGGTACCCTGGTCATAATTTGACATGGGCGCACCCAAGGTCAAAAGATCATTTCCCATATAACGAAATAAAATTTTGAAAGGTTTCAACAAGATAATACAGTGTAATTCTATACTAATATACATAATACAAGGTAATTTTTTAGGGGTACTAATTTTTACGAGTATTTAATTAAAATTTGGTACAATTAGGATGTGGAAAGGGTCATTGGATTAAGCCACAAGATATTTAGATTGAACAACATTAAATGATTTAATATAATCAATTATTTAATTTAACTCAAGATCTTATATATTGATTAGTTTTCTGTTCATTTCTGATGTGGATAGTTTAAAAAAATTCAAAATCTATCTAGTTCGGCTAAAAAAGTCAAATTGGACGAATACATTAGGACGTGAGGAAAATAACACTTAGCAGTAGGGGTCATTAATTTCATGAACGAAGCATCATAAGTATTTTAATCTCAGCCATGTCATCGTAAAAAATCTCAGTGAGTGTCATTTGAACAGCTCCCATAACTTTAATTGTAAATTGGGGAAGATTAATTAACTTAATACATTATTAGATTGAGAAAATATAGAGTTAACTTTGTACCATCTGATTCAGTTGAGTTTAATTTGGGCGCATGCTATTGAAACTTGATGGTTCGTTTTGGCCAGCAGTCAATAGAGGGTTGGAATATGCTCAAGACCATTTGTTAGCCGAGAGCCCAAGACTTTGGCTTGTTGGGAGGCATTGTCTTGGTTGAAGACAAAGGAGGTTTAAGTGGTAAAAAATTTCTTGGATTGCTTGTAGGTTGTGTTGGCCATTCAACAAGGAGATTGCTCTTCTTGGTCGTCATATTTTTATTCGTTGATCGAGGATTGTGTGATGTTGTTGGCCTCGTTTAAAACGGCTGCAATTTCTTTAGTCCATCATGCACTCAATGGTGTTCTTTTTTTAGATTTAGGTTCGAGTTTATTCCATCAGTATTTGTTAATGAACCTTTTTAAGTAATTGAAAGTTATATTATCCTTCAAAAAATGAACACACAAATATCAAAAAAAATATTGTTGGGCTCTTCCATCAATTGCTCCAATTTTGCGATAAGAACTACTGGGTAGCTTTTATTATTCAAAAACCTACGTATACGGCCCTTCCATCAATTGCTCCATTAAGCTCCCTCTTCTTCACAATTATCATCCCGTAATTCTTATCATAAAACTGAAGGCATTTTTTTGTTGCAAATATCACTCTAAAAAATTAGGATAAAGCTATTTGTGTTGTATCCCATTTTGTACACCGCAAGGATGTACCAACATTTTGTATTGGTGTAATGTTAATTTTTGTTAACGCACCAACACTTTGTGTGAGTGTAATTTTTTTTAACGCACCAACACTTTGTGTCAGTCTAAACCATCAAAATGTTGATATATATTCCTTTGATGTATAAATGTGTACAAATTTTAGAATACATATTCCAAAAAATTAACTACAAGCGGCAGAGTGGAACTAGTCACTGTGGCGCACTCTGCAATACACTTGCATGATGATGATGATGTCCTCTAACTCCTCGAGGTGATAATGGAAGACGAGCGACCATTTCAAAGGATAAAGAGAATCCTATACGCAGATGTTGTACGAATTCACAACCTCACACCTTTTTCTCTCCTGACATAAATCCAGAAAACAAAGTGAGCTCCAGCCGAAAGCATTCGATTATCCTTTTCTCCCCCTTTTCCATCTTCACTTCTTCGGACTCCCTAATTCTTCAATTCCTCTGCGATTCTGTATATTCCCTGCCGCCATGACTTGAAGCATTGTTCAGGTATGCCGCTCCGAATCGTTTTCCGCAATTGCGTGGTTTGATTTCTGAGATCCGAATCGTTTGTTGTTGGGGGATTGAATCTAAGCGTGTTTTTTTTAAATATTTGTGGCTTCCATTGCTCGTGTTTCTGTTGTTGTTGTACAAGTTTAGAACTGGAAATGAATTGAGTTGCAGAGCATTTTGATCTGGACTTGAATGTTTCGATTTTGTTATGGATTCCATTTCATTCCAGATGCTGGAAGTGGAAATTGATTGTTTTGTTTCCTTTGCAATTTGCATTGTTGATTTCTGCCTCTTATTTTTGCATTCACTATTGTGTTTCACATTAGCTTTTTACATGAAGTTTGTGAAAACGAAATTGCATATCTTAGAAGGTTGAACAATTACGTGAGAGAGGTAAATTGAGCTATAAATTATGTGTTTTAGAATTTTATAGAAGTAGAAAAGTTAATTATGGACAAACAAAAAGTAAAATGAGAAAATAAAGGGGGGGGCAGGGGAATAGTATTTGTGGCAAACATGATAGTGTTAGACTAGTGTTGACTGTTGAACCCCTTTTTCTTTGAGGATGGATAAGTTTTGTATGGTTTTCTTTTATTGTGCACGTTTTTGTACGTACCAGAAGACTAGGGCAGGCTGCACCAGACCAGGGCCCATCAGGTCAGGTCTTTGATCTGGTCTGGCTGGTTTTCTGAGTTATAAGCTTTTTACTTGGATTTGTTTACTTTAAACTGGTCTGGCTGGTTTTCTGATTTTTGGATAATGAACTCTTTTTTTTGGGAGGGAGGGAGTATTTAATTTTAAATGTACTTGAGCTTCGGACTTTATAATTTGATTAGGATGGTTGAAGTGTACGTTAATACGGAGTACTCCGTATGAGTTTTATCACACTCAACAACAACAACAACAACCCAGTTAAATCCCACAAGAGTAGGGTCTGGGGAGGGTGTGTGTATGCAGACCTTGCCCCTACTCGAAAGTAGAGAGGCTGTTTCCAAAGAGACCCCTGGCTCAACGTCGAAAGTTGCATTGTAACTGCTACTTCATTAATTAAAGAAGCGCAGACAGTTTAGAGATCCATTTTGATTTATTCCATCACACCCCAAAGCCAAAAAAATGGTGAAATTTTGGCTCCATCGGAGATGATGGAAATTTTATCACACTCAATATATTTAAAAAATATCCGGTCCAACGGGTCTAGTAATTTTTTTTGGAGATTTTGGTATTTGGTCCGGTGTTGCACAGATTCACACCCACTTATATGAGTATTCCTTAACACATTTCTTCACTTGCCTTCTCAGTGAGGATTCAATCATCATCACCTTAATCCCATTGCAAGATTTGAGACGGTGATTAGTTGAGATAGGTGCTAAATCTTGACTGTCCCATTAGAAGATTGTTACAAGAAATTAAACATGAATCTGCAAAACTTCACTAGACACCTAGTAATTATTCTGTCGTTTGGAATCAACATAGCTATTTGTCTTTTACAAGAGTGCCAGTCTGCCAGATGTGATTAGGTAGGCAAACTTGTCTACTTGTCTTTAGAGGACCACACTATTTGGTTCTTTCACCTTTTTTTTCAAACTTTGAATGACTACTTGCTGTGAACTGTATTTTTTTGTGTCCTATTGCCACCCATATCCTTTAGCTCTAAAAATGATATCACCTTGTTGTGTATCCAGGAACTGTGTTTTATTTTTGTATTCATGCTTGGATCATATTCTTTAAAACTAGATGTTGGAATTTGATGGTGTAGACACAAGGAGACTACAGTGATAATGTGAGCACCCTTATTTTCAGGCATGGAGCCTCCTAATATACTAGGACTAAATTTGTACATAAACGCATCTCATGGTTGATTTAATGAGTGCTAGTCGTAACGGATTAAACGTTGTACCAAATTGTCCATGGCTGCGTTTGGGCTCGGCCTTGGCTCATGTAGCAGTTGATTGTTCAAAGTGGTTGGTCTGAGCCAATCCAACAAAAAGAAAGATAAAGTGGAGTAGAAGAAAAGGAATACTGTGTCTGGAGATGAGTCATCATAGTTTCCTTTTCCATTCTTAGAGAAGTATTGGCACTTCATTTATCTTGTATTACAAAAAGAATGAAATCCCAGAAATATAGGAGGACCGGCATTGTAATTCTCCATCCTTTTCCAAACATATACTCTGGGGTATTTCTTATAGATTTGGTATGTTTATTTGTTGTCATTGTATGGATCCAAATGCATCTAAAGTGAGTTGACCATTTTTCCTCATTAATAGTTTCCTTCCACAGATGAACTAGTGGGCTGTTACATTTGAGTGAAGCTCATGGAGTGTGATTCCGGGAACTGCTCTAGAGAAAACACAAAGTTGGGAGCTATGTTGACTTTTGAGAAGGCAAACATATCTTATGGAGACTTCAACTGTGAAAATGTGGGTCTATTTACACCCAAGTCACTCCAGAAGAAGCATATTGACAAGAAGGGAAGTGATAAAGAAGAAGAGCTCGTTAGATACATGTCGAGTTTACCTACCTATCTGCAGGTAGGAAAAGCCCAGCAGGAAAAAGCTTTTAATGTTGGAGTGCTTGATTGGAAGCATCTAGAAAGGTGGCAAAGTAAAGCTAAGCAAATGCCTTCAAGGTTCAATGTGGTTTCACCACCATCGACTAGCAGCAATGCATCGTCATTCTCGTCAACAGAAGAGTCATCATCCAATTCCAGCAGAGAATACCTTGCGCCATACCTCATGAAAGTAAAATTAGATTTTAAAAGTTGTAAAACAGTTCGAATTGGGAAACAGGGGCCTGCCACACAGCGAGCTCAATTACAAGCAACCATCACAAATGGCGTTCCTCAATTTAGATTCTCAGTTGAGAAGGAAGATGAGTGTGTAACAGCCACGGTGGAGCGATTGTCTTCATCCACGAAGAACAACAATTGGATCTATACATTCTCTACTATGCATGACATGAAGAAGAAGAAGAAGAAAAAGGATAGAAACAAAGTGACAGGAAATATTTCTAGTGCCGTCATCGCTCAAATGAAGGTTTCTGATGTTCAATCGTCAGACGTCATTATTAGGGAGTTTGTTTTGTTTAACACAGGCAGCATAAATCAACAAACTTCAGAGCTTGCAGCCATTGTTGTGAAATTTTCAGAGTGTGAAGAGATTAGCATGAATGTGATTATTCCTGGTGGTGATCATGGACTTCCCAAAAAAGGGGAGCCTTCTTCACTCATTGAAAGATGGAAATCCGGTGGGTCGTGTGACTGTGGAGGTTGGGATTTGGGATGCAAACTAAGAATCCTTGCCAATGACAGTGCCATGGGCAGAAAATCTAGAGTTCCATTGAGTGGTGGACAGTTTGAGCTTTTCTCTCAGGTATTAATTGCGTTCGGGATACTTGATAGTTGTATGTTTTCTCACCTCTTGCAAATACTAGATTTTTAATTGGAACACCCAAAATTTATCCTGAAGTTTTTTATATATAGAATCTGTTTTTCTTGGCGTTGCAACGAGTTCCTCATGTTTCATGATTTGAAGGTTGATTTTACAATGTCAATCTTGTAATGGAACATGACAACAAATATCAACCCATATTCTCGTGTTCCATATTATATCTTGCTGAAACCCGAAACCGATGTAAGATTGAGAACCATCAGTTTCACCATCCTTTATAAAAGTACGGATAATTACGCTGTTTGACAGGGAGGAGATCATCAAGAAAATATGGCTGCCCTCAGGCTGTTGGGCCCTTTCAAAGATGGGATCCTTTCTGTGGAGTACGCTTCATCTCTCAAACTCTTGCCAGCATTCTCCATTTGCCTCGCTATTCTAAACGTTAGAAAGCGATACGGATCCTGAGGGGTTTCTCTCATCTTCAGACAACAACGAAAGGCCTTCCCGAAACTGAAAATGAGAAAGTCGAAGGCCATGCGAAGGTGTTATATAGGGAGAACAACTCATGTAACACTAGTAAATATAGTTGTAATTTGGTGGCAGAATAATAATATAGATAGAGTGCAGCATTGTAGTATCATCTGAGTATGAAATTGAATTTGATGTGGTAGGGGAAGCAAATGTGGACTCAAATAATTTGGGCTACCATGAAGTATATGTTTTAATCCATTTATAATGCATGTCCTAAAGAAATTCCCTCCTACATTGACAAATAATATTGAATAAGCTAAGGCAGTGTTTAGAGATTTAAAATTATTTGAATTCTTGGATTTCGATTCTAAATATGGAGGGGGGAATTTTTTAGAACAATCCAAAAAGAAATACTCCATATATTGATAAATTCCGGGCAAAGAGAGTATATTGTTCACACTTGGCATCTTTTTTAGAGCATGAACAATTGTGGGCACGAGGCAAAAGGAGTTTTTTATTAGGTAAATTTATATTTTGGTGTATGATCTTTCTTTTTTTGAATAAAGTTATCAAAAAGGTTCAGACCTCTAGTGAATATATGAAGTGTTTGTTAATTGGGATGAGGTATGTCTGCAAAAGAAGAATGGAGGTCTAGGCTTGTGTACGATCGCTCCGTGAAAGTCTATTTTGGTCTCCAAAATTCTAATTCTCTTATAATAAATTTTAAAAGAAATACGATGCACGTGAAATCAATAAATTAACAAATTAAAAATGGAGTAAGTAAAATTTAAAAAATCATGTCAATATTTGATCTCAGGATATGTACATTTTACCTACATTATATTTAAAATTTTCAAAGTTCACATCACTATTTCAAGCATTTAATCGTGTTTGTAAAGTTACTCTTAACTCGTTAAAAGTATTAATTCTAGACTTATTTTGCATATCTTGACGAAAATAAATTATTACTCCCTCCGTCCCAAATTATAATGTCTGTTTACTATTCACATGGTCAAACTTTATTCACTTTCTTTCTCTATTTTCATTAGCAATTTGATAAAATAAAATATTATTGTCACTACTAGTTTTGTAGATCTTCTGATGTAGTTTTTTAATATGTAATTTTTATTTTTTAATTCTATACCATTTGTCATATAAAATGGTTTGAAAATAATTTCAGTCAAACATCGTAAACCAAAACAGACGTTTTAAATTGGGACGGAGGTGGTAAAAACTAAAAATAAGACTAAACACTATTTTTTTTTCTAAATTTTGATATCAAAAAATATTTACAAAATATGACATATTTCTAGAAATATTGCATACATACATACATACACATACATACGTGTGTGTGTGTCTATATATATATATATATATATATATATATATATATATATATATATATATATATATATATATATATATATATATAAAAAGAGAAAATTCCAGCTCAAATCAGTGTTAGAATTAGCTGGTTATCAAAAGTGGGGCCTTAAACCTGAAAGTGGAATAACCACCAAATGCATGCATTTTTCTTCTAATTACTCCAAAATGGAATTATTATATCCCTCACGAATTGTTAGTTTGTCCCCTGGCCCTTATATAAAGACACCCCTACACTCTATGAAAAGTGTATGATTGTAGCTTATTTATTATAAAAAGTCAAAATTTGTACACTATAAAAAATAGTTTACCACAAATTTTATTTTTAATACGACAATCAGTTTGAAACAGATAGAAAATAAAAAGAAATTGGAAGTTATTATCTCGTTTTAACAACATAGATTTTGAGAATAAAGTTTGTTTTACTCCTAATTGGAGAGATTTCTTTTTTTAAATTTCTATCTATTTTAAACTAATTCTCCTATTAAAAAAATGAAACTTTTTGTAAGTTATTTTCAATGATGTACAGATTTTGACTTTTTGTATATAAGCTACAATCGTACATTTTTATTTTTTATTAATTTGTATATTAAAAATGGTTATAAATAGTAAATTCTCTAAATAGTATTTTATAACTGGTGATTTTTCATATTTAGTCCATATTTATCGAATATTATTTTCACGATCCTTGTTGATTGAATACCATTTCATGTTTAGTCATTGTCTAATGGCACGAAAATGGAAGACCAAACATGGAATAATACCTAATTAATAAGGATTGTCAACATAATATTTAAAAAATACGGCCTAAATATGGAAAAGAACCCGTTATAAACAACTATTTAAAAAAATTGCTCAAAAATAAACTATGATGTTGGAAAAACTATACAGAGACGGGTGGACACGGTACCGGTACCGCCGGTACCCGCCACCATCACCGCCGATCGGGACGTTCCACCGGTTCCCGGAACCGCCCCCCTCGGTACTGGTTCCGGTTCCGGTACTATTTTTTTATTTACAATATTTAAATAACTACATTTTTAGATTTTTATTTCATTCTTTCCTTTATCAATTATATTTTTAATTTTTTTATTTCATTTTTTCCTTTAAAAATTGCACATTTACAATTTTACACTTTAAAATTTTAATAAAAAAGCAAAAAAAAATTGGGGGTGACCGTTCCGGTACCGGAACCGCCGGTCCGGGTACCGGAACCGGTACCGGCCGGTCCGGTCACGGTACCGGTACCAAGGGGTGGCGGTTCCGGAACCGTACCGTGTCCAACCCTATGAGAGAAATAGTGTGAAGAAATTTAAAATGATTAATAATTCAACACAAAAAAACCTATTTTTATAGAAAAATGAGTGTTGTTTGGGAGGTCTCGAATAGACAAGACGACTCAAAGTTTTGTTGGGACAAATGGAGTTGCCTTTACATGCTATATAGCCAATATAGGATATCCTTGGGGACGGATGGATTACTCATATACTCAAATTTGTGATGGAACTAGAAATAGGTACATCCATGTAGTACTCATTTCGAAGTATAGTAGTACTCATTCTCGCACAAGCATAATTGTTCATTTGAAAAACGTGATACACATTCTGCAATAACGCAATACTCATTCAGAAATAATGTCGTACTCATTTTTACAAATTTGTTGAATATTCATTTACGAATAACAAAATATTCATTCTAAAACTCATTGGTACTCATTTCCATATAAACTACTAGTACTCAATCTAAAACAACCTGCTACCATTCATATGTCGTTGAAATCTGGTAGAAAGCCGAAGACCATCGCCAGACGCCAGCAACCGGAAGCATCAGATCTTCGCATATCAAGCAGCTTTCAGATCGCGGATCAGACTTTCAACCTTCATCGTCCTCCGCCGATCGGACTTCCAAACAACCTTTATCTTCATCGTGTAATCACCGGACCTTCATCTGCAAATTGCCGATCCGGAATCCAACCAGTCCCATCGCGCATCTTCCTTCATGGACGATCGATTCGTTAGTTCTTGCCACAGTTCCTCCGTTTGCCCTAATTAATTGCCGGCTGTACGGTTCTTCCCGTACAGCCGGATGTACGTTATAATTTCCCTAAATTTCTTATTTTTATTTGCATTTTTAGTTAGTCGTTTCATAAAGGGCTAAACTTCACCATTGGTCCTTCAACTTTATCAATTGTACATGATTGGTCCTTCAAGTTTTAAAAATCCATAAATAGTCTTTCAACTTTATGAGTTATGCATGATTGGTCCTTCAAGTTTTAAAAGTACATAAGTAGTCATTCAAGTACATGTCAGCCCTGCAGATGAGGTTCTTTTGACAGTAAATGTTAAAAGCTAAATGGAATACTAGCTCCATATAATACGGAGTAGTCGTACCTAGTGGAATTACTCGTATTATATGAAACTAGTATTTCGTTTAACTTTTAATATTTAATTACTATCAAAAGGACTTCATCTTGAAGGACCAATGGTGCAGAACTTATAAAGTTTGAAGGATTTTTTATGGACTTTTGAAACTTGAAAGACCAATCGTGCACAACTCATAAAGTTGAAGGACCAATGATGAATTTTAGCCATTCATAAAGTAATACTCCATTTTGTATAATTAGGTTATCAAATTTTGTAGAACAATGATTGCAATTTTTAATCTAATTTCTTTTTTAAATTTTATGATAATTATTAAAAATTTAATCAGAAAATACTTTTAATCAAATATTCTAAATTATTTCAACGTATAAAATGTTTTTTAAGAAGAAAAGTATTTATTCAATTAATTTTTTAAAATTTACACCGATTAAGAGCATGCGATAGTGGACTTGATGGAACTTGACAGAGTATAAAGAAATATGATGTGGAATGATAAAAATATGTATATTATGAGACTTGAAAAAAGACATGACAAAAATTGATGAGATGAAGATGTAAATTATTTTGATTAATTGAAGCAAAAAAGAGAAACCAGCCAGCCTTCACAGATGAACGACAGGCAACGCCCCATCACAACAAATATGGCACGATAGAGCAGGGAGAAGGGGGCTTGAGGGAGGAACATGCCACTTCCGTCAAGCCCCATAAAAATTTGCCTAAGTAGGCTCTTAGATCTTGGATCAATCAAAGTTAATTGATTTAAGGATGGAGAGCTTCTGACAAAATTAGTCAGCATGTGTAGTTAGAACTTAGAAGCTACAAGCCTACAAATAGTAAAAAAAATTCAGCCAGTGCATGGATGCTACCATGGGTGTATCTATATATATTTCGCACACACAAACACAAACGGTAATCGTTTATTCGATACAAACAATTATTATATGTGTTTGTCTGTGCAAAGCATGAATACATCTATAATAACACAATTTGATGATGCCCTAGCATTAGTCTAAAAAAAGAGTGAATATCCCAAATTTAGATGGGGAAAATGAAAACATAGAGACACAGTGTACCCATAAAAACTAAGTGACAGGTGAACATTTTACATTTTTTTAGCACAACACGGAATAGACCCCATTGTGATTCAAATTTTACACGAGGTAAAATCTCATATTTTTTTAAAATTATTTTATTTAAGAATTGATATAATAATAAAAAACAAAACTTACATATTTAAAAACTATCAAAACTTTTACAAAACAAGATGTGATAAGAATATTTTATTTTATCAAATAAACAATCAAAATATATATATAAAGAAAAATTATCAACATAAGAGAAAAAATTCTGAACAACTATGGGACGGAGGGAGCTGAATATTTTATTACTCATCTACTACCTCCGTCCCAATGTCTTTGTCCACTTTTGACATTTAGAACTGTTCATCTAAACACTTTGACTCATCAAATTCTCTCAATGTGTAAACCTAAATATAATCATGTGTGATCTTGTTTGATTTGTCTTAACATATAGATTATTAATATATAATTTCTATAATTTTTAATATACAAATTACAGGATAAAATGGATTAAAGAAGTGCATTGGATGGTGTGCCAAAAGGTAAGTGGACAAAGACAGTGGGACGAAGGGAGTACTTTGTTTCTTCTCATTTAATTTTTTACAATTATTATTTTTAAATTTAAATAAAAAATTACAGAGAAAATACAATGAATGGTGGCACAAATTTAGTATCAATCGAATAATATTAAAAAAGATAATTTTGAAATCATTAAATTTTTATGATATATATATCCATACTTAAAAAAAGATATTTGATTATAGAATATTAAATATAGAAACCCTAATTTTAGATAAAATTTACTCTTTTCTTAATACTTGTATTTGTAATTTTCCTTATATTCTAAAAATAATGGAACGATGTGAGTAAAAAAATTACTCTCTCCGTTCCAAAATGATTTATTATTTCAAATTTACAAGAACTTTAGTTTATTTACGTTTTTTTTAATTATTTAATAAAATTAATTATTGTCACCCTATATTTATAAAAATTTTATCGTAGTCTTTAAAGATTTAATTTTTGTTTCTTATTTTTATATCAATTTTCTAATGAAAAGGATAAATTTCTTATTTTGGAATGGAGGAAATACTTTGTTTCCCTATGTCTTGTCAAATGTCAAAGAAAAAATCACAGATGAAACTTTATGGAACCCCTTTCTACCCTTTTTCTCTTCAAAGTGGATGAAAACACACCAACAAAATTCATCATTTTTGCTTGAGAGAGAGAGAGAGAGAGGTTTTATTTTAAGCAAAGAGAACACTATAAAAAAGACAGCAACTTTTGCAATCTCTGTTCAACTTTCAGACTAAAAGAAGTCGTCCATTAATTGATTCAATGGGAGCTCGCTGCTCCAAATTTGGGTATTTCTCTGCATCTTCTATAACCAAATCCAAAACCTCGAATTCGTCAGATATGGGTAAGACTTCTTTTTTAATTTCTTGTTCAATTTTCCTTTTCTTGAACTGGCATCTGATTTTCCCGAGTCTTGACTGTACCGTTTATGATTATATATATATAAAAAAAGACAAATGTGGAGATGGGGAGCAAGGGAAATGTACATCTCTCAGAGAATTTAAGTTAGATGAGCTGAAAATCGCCACCTCTGGCTTCTCTGTGGACAACATTGTGTCTGAACATGGAGAGAAAGCTCCCAATATTGTGTACAAAGGACAGCTCAAAGATGGCGGACAATGGGTCGCCGTGAAGCGGTTTCACAAGTCCGCCTGGCCCGATTCTCGCCAGTTTATTGTAAGATCTCTTCTCTCTAATATAAATCCTTTTTTTGGGCATACAACAACAAGCTTCAGCCTTTGGTTGGATTGGTTCTCTGGTCACAAGTTTGAACCTTGTCTCTGGTTTTCACCTTGGTGTCAATCTGTGTGTGCTTTTGTTGACTGTTGGTTGGATGGGTGATAATGTGTTGGTAGGATGAAGCGAAAATGGTGGGGCAGTTGAGGAGCGAGCGGCTTGCGAACTTGTTAGGATGGTGTTGCGAGGGAGACGATAGATTTCTCGTAGCTGAATTTATGCCCCACGAGACACTCTCCAAACACCTGTTTCATTGTGAGTTCTTCAATTTCTTTCCACTTTGCTTTGAGAGGATTAATGAGATACTGAAGATTTGCTCATTCTGTGTTTGGAATTCAGAAAATTGTATGCTTGCTTTATGTTTGGTTTGACATTGGAAGATTCAAAGGAAAATGGGATTTGATTTTTTTTCTCAAAAAGAGTTTATATCTATATAAGCTCTGTAGTCTTTACAAATGTAAAACGAGTTTGAACAAATATCTTAAGTTCTATTGAGTTTGAACCTAATGTTCCTACATTCCTTCCAAATTTCACTTCTATTTCCAAGAAAATGGAACCTGGTCATTTTCCTTCATTCCTTCCAATGCCCCTATTTTTTTCTTAGCAATTTTCATGAGTCCAAACAGATCCTATGGCATGTTTGTCTCCCAGAAAACACTAGAGAAAGTTTTTTTTTCTTCTTTTGTTTGATTTTAACCTACAAAATATTCTTTTTTTCTCGGTGTATATGATTGATGTTTGGCCGAACGGTTGTAGGGGATTCACAGCCATTGAAATGGACAATGAGGTTAAGGGTGGCTTTGTATTTGGCACAAGCATTGGATTATTGCAGTAGTAAGGGGAGGGCACTATATCATGACCTGAATGCTTACAGAATCCTCTTTGATCAAGTAAGTCAATTGACCTCCCATTTACTCCCTACTATAACCCGTATTTCTCTTACATTTCGGGTGTGTATACAGGACGGCAATCCTAGGCTTTCATGTTTTGGATTAATGAAGAACAGCCGAGATGGAAAGAGTTATAGTACGAATTTGGCTTTCACCCCTCCGGAGTATTTAAGAACAGGTATTCAAATTTCTCTTATCTTTCTACTACCAACTAGGGGTAAAGTTCCTTTCGGGAAAAAAAAGTAGGGATAAAATTTGTGTACACGTGCCCTCTCCAGATCATACTTTTGTGAAATTTCACTGGGTATGTTTATTCAAATTTCTCTTCTATTTCAAGTACTTTTTTGGTCATTTTTCTCTCTTTTCCCGTTTTCAGTTTGCTAAATCGACAGGTATTCAAGAGCAGGGACATGTGTAGCTGTTATAAAACTTTCTTTTTCTTTTTGTTGGCAGGTAGAATAACTCCCGAGAGTGTCATTTTCAGTTTTGGCACACTGTTGCTTGATCTTCTGAGTGGGAAGCATATTCCACCGTCTCATGTAATCTTCTTCTTCTTCTTATTTTTCTTGTTCTTCTTCTTCTTTGTCTTCTTCTTTTTCTTCTTCTTTATCAGAATGTAGCTGTAACACGAATACATTAGAAACAAGTCCCATTGGTTCATCTGCTTAATCTGTGTGTGTGCAGGCACTTGACTTGATACGTGGAAAGAATTATCTGGTGCTGATGGATTCATGTTTGGAGGGTCATTTCTCAGACGATGAGGGAACTCAGGTGGTGCGTTTAGCCACACGTTGTTTACAGTACGAATCTCGTGAGAGGCCAAGTGTCAAATCCCTTGTCACCAATCTCACTTCTCTTCAGAGAGAAACCGATGTAACTTTTCTTCTATTTTTTCCTTATTTGAAAAAAGAAATACCACCCTCTCGACAATAAATATAAACATTGGATTTGTTGTTGTTGTTGTTTATAGTGTGCGGCATCTTAAACTGTATATATTTGGTTTGATTTGATTGCATCAGGTGGCATCATATGTTCTGATGGGCATAAAGTCTGATGAAACGCCATCTCCAACACACTCCCCCAAACTATCCCCTCTCGGCGAAGCTTGTTCAAGAAATGATTTAACAGCCATCCACAACATTTTGGAAAATACAGGATACAGGGATGACGAAGGGGTTGCGAACGAGGTTGGTGTTTCTTCTTTCACATTCTCCTAACTCAATTTCCCCTATATCTTCAAATGCTTGTTTAGTAAAAGTTCTCTTCTGCTTTTGAAGCTCTCATTTCAGATGTGGACTGGCCAAATACAGGAAACCTTAAATAGTAGGAAAAGAGGTGACAACGCTTTCCGTGTTAAAGATCTCACCACTGCCATTGGTTGCTACACTGAAGTAAGCCACCCATCTCTCTCTCTCTCTCTCTCTCTCTCTCTCTCTCTCTCTCTCTCTCTCTCTCTCTCTCTCTCTCTCTCTCTCTCTCTCTCTCTCACCCACACATGTATGTGTGTCTGTACAAAAATATCTGTTTCGAGTAATTCTTGGGAATTGGGGCACAAAAATGTGATTTTTAGATTGTGTTCTTATCAACTCAATGTATAGGTGTGTGTGTGTTTGGTTTGCAGTTTATTGAGGGGGGAACAGTGGTGTCTCCAACAGTGCTAGCGAGGCGGTCACTGTGCTACCTGATGAGCAATAAGGCACAAGAAGCCCTAGCAGATGCGATGCAAGCGCAAACCGTGTATCCTGAATGGCCCACTGCCTTCTACCTTCAAGCCGCCGCTCTCTTCACTCTGGGCATGGACTCCGATGCCAGGGACACCCTGGCTGATGGAGCTTCTCTGGAAGCCCAAAGAAAAAGACAGTAAAAAAAACTCTGTATATATGAAACTCTGTTCTCCTTTTTATCTTTTTCTCTTGTTTCTTTATTTGACTCATTCTTGGTGGGAGACATCTTCCATTTGAATGCTCAAGAAATGTTTAAAACACTTGACAATGTGACAACCACCAACAGGAGGTGATTTCATCATGTCCCTTCTACTTTCAGAGTTTTTATTGAAACACAATGGGTAGGTCCCACATGATAGGGGCATGTTTGGTAAGGTTTTATTATGGTTGAAATGATTGAATCAGTTTGATTTTCTGAAAGGGTAAACATGTACTTCAGTCAAAAACTAAGCAAATCAAAACTTGCTTATCCATTCTATTCTGTTTGTAAAGTCAGTAATGGCTAGCAAAAAGAGCCTAAAGTCTGCTTTGGAGTTAATGAACATTACCAAAAAAAACTGTATGCATCTTTACAGATTATCATAAAAGATGTCAACACTTAATGAAAAAAAAAGAAAGAGAAAGATTTTCCGGCAATTTTCAGAATTAATTTCACTGAGGGCCAGTTCCAGCACACCCGGAAGCAAGCAACTGACCTATAATATTTGTTACCTAGGAAAAACAGTGAAATCTGTTCTTAGTACATTTAATTAAGGATTCCACGCCACGCATAAAATCAACCGCTTAAACGAAGCTATAATCATACATTGAATGATACGAACCTGCCAGTACTTTGAAACACAGCGATCGATGCAAGCATTCTCGCCAATGTAAAGCTCGGCCTCTTTGTAATCCTTGCTGGAGATGCACTTGTGGAAACAGGTGTGTGTAAGCCTGCAGGTTCCACAAAAATTGTGTGCATTTGGTTCATCACAACAAAATCTTTAGTTTTTTTTACCCATTTCATCAAATACTATACTACTTGCGTACACAGGCATGGAAGGGGGGCTTTAATGAACTTATTTACTATGACTATAATTACATGTTAAACATCTCCGCTCTGTACTCCAACTCCTCCATCCAACCAACGATCTGCACAACAACAACAAGAACAATAGTAGTCGATGAGAAGTGGTAATTAAGGTTATTATAGTGATAGCGGGTTTCGCTAATGACACCCTCCAAGGTTGTTGTTGATGTGCATTTCTAGCACTTTTCTCTCTTGACAAAACGAATCCTCATTGCTATCTCCCTTTAGATTCTCGGAGACATTCCGACATTCAAATCATTTGCATTAGAAAAAATGGGTATTTCCCCGCACTTGACCTTGTCCTTAATTGAGCATCGTCTTGTCTCAATGCAACTTAGCTAGGTTATTCTTCTTATACACATCCTAACAAATACTTTTTACATTATTTTTTTAGTAATGAACGAACATGTGTCTTACAAGATTTTTCTATTATCTAAATAAACTCAGATGATCCGTTCTTTTCTTACTTTACGGTAAAAGTCAAATTGGGTAAAGTTGTTTTTTTATACGCATATCCTCGTGCCATTTTTTTCAAAACATAAAAAAATTGAACCGTTAGATCTGTCATTAGCAAAACCATAATAACAATCCAACATTCTCACAACTAATTAAAAGTTCTAACTTCAACATTGTAGAAAGTCTTTCATTATATGTTTCCCGACTTTGGGGGACTAATCTTAAACCCCTAAAACCCACCTCAAAACCCTAATTAGAAGATCGGGGTAAAAAAAAAAGAACCTTTTGGGGCTGCTTTGATGTAGATGGTGAAACATCTTGCTTATTTACTGCAGTAGATGAAGTGTTCTCCGCAGCCATCTTACAAATGCTATGCGTAAATCAAACTGTAAAAAAAGGCTTCATTTTTTTTTGTTCAATGCCCAATGGATGTTTAATCTTTTACTGAATTCTTTGGCGAATAGTCTGGGGAACAAGAAAAAAGAAACGACGGCGTTTCTTGACAAAGAGGTTAACGAGAAAATAAGGAAGGTTAACCATTTTATTAAAAGAGTATAGGGCCATATTAAAAAATTATAGAGTATTTCGTAGAGCATGTTTGAGAATAGCGTTAGAGATTAACATTAGCGTTTTGAATAAATTTTAACGTTACAGATTATTTTGAAAATGCTAAACACTGTCCGTGAATACTCTTTTTCAAAACGCTGACGCTAATCTCTAACGCTATTCCCAAACAGGCCCGCACTATTCCCTCCTCAAATCTGAAATTATTTTTAATGCTATTTATTTCAAAGTTAGTGTAGAATTAAAAAGATAAAATTTACATATTTAAAAATTAAATAAAAAGATGTATCCTGCAAAACAAGAGGAAATACAAATTAATTTATTTTATCAAATGGGTAATAAAAATGACAAGGACGAGATAAAAGTTTAACACCGTGAATGGTAAACATGTCACATAAATTGGGACGGAGAGAGTATTATTTATTTGACATTATTTAACATTATATTTGAACATTATCTTACATTAGTTGCCACAATAATGAAAAATATTCATCAATGCTTTGAGTTTGGTTCGTCCTAAAAAATAAGACAACTTGAACAAATTTTGTTCAATCATGCTAGACTTACACCAAAAGGTGTATTCCAAAGTTACACCAAAGGTATACACTAACATTTTGGTGGTTCATACTGACACAAAATGCTAGTGCGTTAACAAAAATTTACACTAACATTTTGTATCTATGTGAACAAAATGAAGGTGCACACTTGCGGTGTACAAATTGGGGTACAAATAGCTTAATCCAATTTTGTTAAAAACACTCTCAAGAGTTCACAATTGACATTGGCATCAACCATAGACAACAACCCTGCAATGGAGAGGTGCATAATGATTAAACCCAAGACTCATTGCTTGCTGAAGAAGAAGATTCCTTGGAAGAAAATCAAGCAATGATTCATTGAAGCATTATGCCATATTTTGGGAACAAAGAGACATGTCAGGTTTGGTCACCTGTCAAACTCTCTCCCTCATGGGGCCCTAAAGAGATGACTAAACCACAGATTCTTTGTCAACTGTTAGCATCCCCCTCATAATCTGAGATTAAGGTGCTAATCATGCAAAGCTTAATTAGCAAGAGAGCAAAGGAGTAGTAACCATTTACAGGATCTTCAAGAAAAAGGCTTCTTTATGTACAACAAACTAATCTGTGTCTCCAGTTCAGAACAAAACATCATCCCAAAGGAATGAACTTGAAAGTTGATGTGAATGAGCTATCTTTAATTTGGACTTGATTTTAAAAGGAGAAGCTAAGAGCTTTTGGAACCCACCCTGTACCCTCTTCAAGGGAGAATGTTGAAGTGAAAGAGCCATGAGATGACAAAGGCAAGGATCATAGAGGCAAGTAGAAAGTTCATAACGCGACGACCATTCCAAAAGCGCTGGGTCTCGGGAATGAATGTTGGTGCTGTTAGAGCTGCTCCACCGCTAGTTTCATTTTCTTCGGTTGTCTGCTCCCCGGCGATATTGACTGCAGTCTCACCACAGATTTCACATGTTCTGCATTACATTTTAGGATACTCAAGTTTGGAAACGTATTTGTTTCTAGCTTATGCAACATCTATAATCAAACAACAACATCAACAAAGCCCGGTATAATCTCAATTCAGTTGGGAATTTGGGGTTAAGATTTACGGAGCATGCAGCACTACTCTGTAAAAAGATGTATGTTTCTTGGATTTCAGCGGTTTTTTCTTTTTCAAGATGGCCATCTAACCATGCCTGTGTTTTGTGACTTTTGTCCGACTAGCTTAGCACAATTTAGAACACTTTGAGTAGTGTTTGTTGATGCTATAGAACGGTCTACTTGTTTGTTTTATAAGCAAACACATTAGAAACATTTGCCTCAAACCTTGGTTCTAGGATCACACAACCAAGTAGTAGGAGTAAAAAACACACAAGAACGAAAATGAAGTGGAGAAACGCACATTCTCTTTAATGCCCACCATGTATTCTTTGATATCAGATGAATGCATGCTAGGAACCTATACAAAGTTTATTGCTTTAAAGAGTGTTTGGGGTTATGATAGATTTCTGAAAAGAAACAAAAGTTACAAGTGGAAGGAGAGCACTTAGTCTTAGACTTCCCAAGCCATAAACTACAAGCAGAATCAAATTGTAATGCTATACTGCATTTAGATGTAGCTAAAGTTCAAAAAATACTCCGTAGTTTTCAAACACAACCCCAAACGCCCTCTTAGATTGCAAATTGGATTTCTAGGGTTATGAATGGATTTCTTGGCCAATTCTTTAATCTTGTAGATTGGAGATAGCCCTGGAAGGAGAATGTTTCAATTCACATCAACCAAATAAATCAAAAGAATTCCAGTAAAGAAGAGGAAAAATCACTGAAAGAAAAATAATCAAGCAAAAAAGATCACATTTTTATCAAGAATCCAATCAAGAAACTTTAAGTGCTTACGTGTTTCCTCTGATCTTAAACCAAGTTTCAGCACACTGTTTGTGGGCAGTGCCCAAATCACCTCTACAAGAGCACCCCAATTGAATGGCGTCGCCGGAGGAAGGCTCGAGCTCCCCGTCGCCGCCGATGCCTCCGCTTCCAGACAAGCTCAGACGGCAAATCCTACAATCCCTCGTCTCCTCCTCCGCCTCCTCCTTACCCACTAACTTCAGCTCCAATTCACCGCTCTCCAAATCGATCTCGTCGTCCGAAACCCACCCCTGCACCGAGAAAGCGTTTCTCCGGCTATGCCTCAGCCGCTCAGCCGCCGCGGAAAACCGGCATTCCTCGTAGGGCCCACCGGCGGCCGACGCCCAGGACTGGTCCGAGTCTGAGTCCGTGAAGCGGAAGCTCCCGTCGGTCGTGGTCTCGCTGCTCGCCGCCAAAGACGGCCTGCGCCGACGCTGTCTCCGGCGCCGGCGGCGATTGTACTGAAGATTTCCAGCCCCGCCGCCTCCATTGGCCTCCTCATCAACTTCTGCCGCAGCCTCCATTTCACGGCAAAGCTCCGTAAAAAAAATGGAGAGGAAATTGGGTAAATGAAAAACTCAAAGAATTCACGGAAAAGGAAAACCAGAAGACAGGGGAAAGGTTGGGATTAAGGTGGTTTCAGGATTACTTTGTCCGTGACATGATGTACGTCACATAGGCCATATGGTTGCCATGAACGGTGGGGTAAAGGCAAAGAGTGTCAGATTTTTTTGGAGTGGTGGAAGAAGATAATGAGTGCAGTGGTTAGTCGTAATGCTTCTACTGTTCATTTTTCGGTGGTGTAAGATCACAGGGATGAAGCCGGGGGGCCCTCCCCTGCTTTGAACCTCATTTTCCTTGTAGGGCCCAACCCTACATCCACTATTTATTTTAATTTTAGTTTTATAGCGCTCGAAAAAAAATAGGGACATCTACTCATTTCTTCTTGTTTTTCTCTTAGGGCACTCGTAATGCATGTAACGCGTAATGGCGTGACTGCACTTTTAATGCCCGCCCTAAGGCGTTAAACACCGCCCCCTGGAGCTTTATCCGGGCGTGATTTTGATTATGTTAAACCTTTAACGGGCGTTTTGTCCATCTTCATCAAATTAAAAAAAAACTCTTCCTATAAACACCACAAAATATTTTCCTCTTCAATTTTTTATTTTTAAAAATAAACCTCACAAACAAAATCTTTCTTCTTCAATTATTTTTAAAAAAATTAAACACCCACAAAATCTTTTCCACTATCTTCTTCAAAATTTAAAAAAAAATATTCAATTTTTTTCATCTTTTTTAACATGAATGTCTTCATTTTTTATGTTCATTTGTCCGGTCTTGAGTCAAATGACCAATTGAATATAATCTGCTTTTGAGAGAAAACATAACGAGATCAAAGCTAAATATAATTTGTTTTAAGTTTTTAATTAATGTAATTTTTTTAATTAAATGTTCTTTTTTGTTGAAGTTAATTATTTTCATTTAATGAATTATTGTCATATAAATTAATGTCACTTTCTTTTTTTAATTTATTGAATGTAATTTTTTAAATTATTGTCGTTTCAATTTCTTTAAATTTACTGAATGTATTTTTTTTAATTATTCTTGTTTCAATATAATGAAATAATTAAATTTTATTAATTTAGTTTTAGAAAATGTATATTTAAACTAAATATTTTATCAAGTTTTGCTAAATATTTGCTACATTTATATTTTCGAGACAAAATATCAAATTTTTTCATTTCATTTTATTTACATATTGGTATATAAATAAAATATAAAATTACATATTAAAAAACTACATGAAAAGTTCTTCGAAATAAAAGATGTCAAGAATATTTTATTTTATCAAATAACCAAAGAAAACGTAGAAATAAACAAAAGTTCCCGCGACTGCTGAAAAAGCAAATGTTGTAAATATTTTGGGACGGAGGGATATCATCTAAGGGTGTTCAAAAATATCCGATCCAAAATATCCGTCCACGATCCGGACCAATCTGATCCGAAAAATGGATATCCGATCCGATATTTTAGGATTTATTTCGGATCGGATACCCAAGAAAAATCGAATCGAATATGGATTCAATTTCTGAAATTTTGCAGATAATCGAATATCCGTTTTTTTTTCTATATGTTTTTGGAATTTTATGGATATATATTATGACTATATGTTTAAATGTAATTTTATGTTGATTTTGGAACTAAACCATTTTGGACTTTTTACATTAGCATTTTATAATCTTTTTTTTAATAGTGTTTTTTTGTTTGTTTAGACAAAATTACCAAATTTACTCCCAAATTAAATTTAGTATCATTTTTTATTAGGACATTACCTAGTGTGAAATTTTTCTTATAGTAAATCTATATTAAATTTGATATTTTGGGTTGATTTTGATATTTTACCTTTTTTTGTAAATTTTTGCTAAAAACTCAACTTTTCGGATAACCCAGTGATCCGATCCGAAAAATCGGATATCTGAATTTTGGATATCCGAATATTTTCAGATCGGAAATGGAATGAGTTTTACATGATCCGAAATTTTCGGATATCCAAATTTTCAGATCGGATCGGATCGATCTGATTGAACACCCCTAATATCATCTATTTCTAATGCAGAATACACACACACACACATATACATACATACATACATACATACATACATACATACATACATACATACATACATAGACATATATATATATATCTACATACATATACATACATATATATATATATACATACATACATATATATATATATATATATATATATATATATATATATTCCCCCCCAAGACTCGACCCGGGTTGTACACAACAAGAAACAACCGAGAGACTGAAGAGCAACACAAGCCAAGAATTTGGGGCCGAATTGGGATCTCACCGGTGGGGGAGAAAACTACCCAGCTGGTTGGGTATTCATCGCACTATCGGTCAGGCCCCGTGACTTTGCGGAAAGGGTCTTCAGATCTTCAAGGCAATAATGCAAGAAACCATCCGGGTTGTTAAGCATGTTGGAAGGTAACAATGTAGAAGTAATTTGATCTGACTAGATTCCCTTGCTCCAACGAATATATAGGGGGATCCCTGCCAAACGCTACCCGCCAAAAGGGGACAGTCACTAGGGATAAGCCCCAGGGAACAAGAGACAAACACTACGAGCTAAAAGAGGCAGCAGAACTTGCGCCATGTCACGTGCTAGGCACATGGTCAAGCATAGGTGCGCGCCACTTTGCCTTCTAATCCCACTATGAATAGATTTGTAACCCTCAGTAGAAGGGATCCAAAATTTATCACTCTAGAGCACATTGTGTAATTCGTCACTGTACTTTTCCCAAACTTAATAACAATTGAAGTACGTGTGTAATTTGTGTAACTATCTCTTAAGTTCTTTTAGCATCTAAACACAGTAAACCACCCTAGGCCTGATCTTGAGTAGTTTACCCATATGGTAATTTACACCATCAATAACAATTAATCAATCGTATACGTAATCTTTCCTATCTCTAAGAAAATTTTATTCACTTATTCTCTTTTCTCTCCTATATTCTACACCCCTCTCTAATAATTTTTCTCTTTCTCTTTCCCTATTATCATATTCACCAATATAATTATCTGTCTCCCATCAGAGATGCTCAATCTTAATTTTACTAACTTTTTTATGGATCTTTGTTAGACTGGTCCACAAGGTGGTGACACAAAGAATTAACATGAGTTTGAACATTGACAACACTAAAGAAGAATGATCTTGTTAAGCATTAAATTCTTATGCGTATTAGAAATATATTTTGTTGATGAGATATGTACACAGAAAGGAAACTAAATCCTCGTGGGATTTGGTATGTTGACTTTCCTTGTTTGATTTGTTTCTTGTTATGAAAGAATTAGATTAATGGTAGAAGTAGAAGTTTACGTCTTCGTCATTCTCTGTTTCTATATAAAGAGGGCCCTTCTCTTATAAACAGATGGAACATTTGGATCTACAAAAAATTTCTTCCTCTATTATTTTAACATAGTATCAGAGCAAAATCTCAAAACCTAATCTTGACGCCTCGTCATCGCTGTCTTGTTGCCAAACTTCTGAGATGGTCGACGAACGAGAAGAGAACTCATTCTCTAAAATCGTCGCCTCCGATGTTGGAATGGACAACAACGATAAATAATTCACCAAGGTTAGTCCTTACGATCGAACTAACATATGCAGACACACTAGCACTAGTTATCACCCAGACCAAATTGATTGATGGTAATTATGAAAAATGGGCACACGCTGTCTCAATTGCTCTTCATGTCAAAAGAAAATGTGAAGTCGTCGATGGATCAATTCCTTAACCCCAAGCAGACGACCTAGAATACGAAGAGTGATTGATTGTGAATGCCATGTTGGTTTCATGGATCTTCAATACCATCGATGCATCTCTTTGAAACTCGGTCACCCAGGTCGAGGAGGTGAGCGAGTTATGAAATTACATCAAAGATTGATTTTCCGTGGTGAATGGACCACGAGTAAACCAGTTGATTAAGGACATAGAGATTAGTATAATGACTATTTTTAATTTAAAAGATTGATATTTTTCCCAGATCAATTCATATTAATAAAATATCTATAATTTTTAGAACATAGTTTAGTGTCATGTAAATAAAAAAGAACAATTTTCCCAATAAAATTGTATTACGTATTATCTATATTAAAAATAAAAGAAAAAATAATAATGAATGTGATTCACAAAGTAGTGACATGAGAAAAATAAAAATAAAAATTTGAAATAATCAATAAACTATAGATATAATAATAATAATAATAATAATAGTAATAATAATACATGAAAAACGTATCATTTTTGGGCTCATTACTTGAGAGTAAAAATGATTGAAAAAAATGGGAATAATTGGAAAAACTGAAGAAAAAAATTGGAAAAATTGAAGAAACTGGAAAAAAACTGAAAGAATTAGAATAAACTGAAAGTCGAAAATTTAAGCTTTGAAGAATAGGCTCTAACTCGTGATAGACAGTACGAGTTAGGAGGTTACAAGTGGGGCGCTCCTCAGTTTCTGCTCGACGAGATTGTGAGAAGAAATAAATCATGGTGACTAAACCGACAACCGAGGCTTCAGTGCGCACAAAAAACCCCGTCATCTTTTGAGAGTTGTGTCCCACACTGTCGCGGGTGAAGCTCAATCCCTAGTCTCTTGTTCCAAATTCCTCTTTTGAGACCAATTGAGATGCCTGTAGTCAACATGTTAGGAGACCACCAGCAGATGTATGTCTTCTTTTTTTTTTTTTGCAGACTGTATTCACTAGGGCTGTGCATCGGTCTAAACCCGGAACGACCCGGACCGGATTGGACCGGACTGGACTGAATAAGAGCAAAGTAATGGACTGTAGATCGGACCGACAAAATGTAAGACCGGACTGGGACCGGACCGAAAAAAACTGGACCGGTCCGGACCGGCCTGAATAAGGACCGAATAAGGGGAATATACCAATTAGTTGAAAAATTAAGCTAGGGGTACACCAACATGGGGTACCCCAAGTGTACACCAGTGTCTGTTTTGCACAGACATTTTGTATCTGTGTGTGTCTGTGTTGGCTTGGTGTACACTTGGGGTACCCCATGTTGGTGTACCCCTAGCATTACCTGAAACTTTGAATTGAAGAGAAACATCACTGCTATCCAATTTTAATTTCATACTTCATTATGTTTTAAATTAAAAAAACACAAAACAAATGGGAAATAGCTACTCGGTAATATCACTGCTCATTACGGTAATGAATGAAGACCAACTAAGTGTTCGGCAGAATCGAAGTTGACAAAGTGTTTGTCGTTTGATATTTTTTTGCCGGCGAGAAGAGAGTGATCTGTGGATTTGCTACTAGCTACTCCTTATTGGATAGGGTTGTGCATTAAGGTGGATTCCATAATTTGACGTAATGGGTTTGTGTATGGTAAAGCCCATATACTAAAAGTCCATATAACCGGTCCACCAGTCTCACCGGGTTTGGACCAGACCGGATCAGAACCCGGATAACGAAAATTGATGGACCAGAGACCGGACCAAATTAGAACCGGTCCAGTCCAGTTATGGCCGATCTTCGGGTCGGTCCGGGTTTGGACCGAATAATGCACAGCCCTAGTATTCACGTTGATGATCCCATGAATCTATTGCAAAGTTTACTCTTGCAAAAGAATGAGTATTGATGATAAAAGTTCATGGCAAGAAAATATTTGGACAACCATTCTATAATTTTTCTTTGTTATTGGTTCATTCTTATATGGAAAATGCCCCCATGTTTTTACTAGATCCATTTTTTGTTCAAAAATTGGTGGGGTATAAGTGAAGCATACAGGTTACCAAACACAACAGCCCATGTTCATTCATAGGCACCCAGCTATACTTCTCACTAAAAATTAAGTACTCCTTCCCATCATGCACAGAGTGATTCATGAACAAAGGCTCCAGCATATAATAATCAATGACAATGGGCATCCACAAACAGAGATTCATTAACAAACATCATAATATAGGTAAACTGTCTCCAACATCAACAAATGTTCTCGAGGATTGAGATGACAACTGGTAGTTGAGAATACAACCACAGATAAACAAAGATTAAAATGAAAGGGACATTGAACCAAACATAGAAAATTCATCCTCAACAGTTGAATCAAGTTAAACACATATTACTCCTGATACTCTGGCTCTTCATCCTCATACTCGGCCTCTTCGTCTGCAGTTGCGTCCTGGTACTGCTGGTACTCGGACACCAGGTCATTCATGTTGCTCTCGGCCTCGGTGAATTCCATTTCATCCATCCCTTCTCCGGTGTACCAATGCAAGAAAGCCTTTCTCCTGAACATGGCAGTGAACTGCTCGCTCACCCGGCGGAACATTTCTTGAATGGACGTAGAGTTCCCAATGAAAGTGGCAGCCATCTTCAGACCAGTGGGTGCAATGTCACAAACTGTAGACTTGACATTGTTCGGAATCCACTCGACAAAGTAGGATGAGTTCTTGTTCTGCACATTCAGCATCTGTTCGTCCACCTCCTTGGTGCTCATCTTCCCTCGGAACATGGCAGATGCTGTCAGGTACCTGCCATGGCGAGGATCAGCTGCACACATCATGTTCTTTGAGTCCCACATCTGCTGGGTAAGCTCTGGGACAGTAAGGGCTCTGTACTGTTGGGAACCTCGGGAGGTCAGGGGGGCAAAACCCACCATGAAGAAGTGGAGACGGGGGAAGGGGATGAGATTCACTGCCAACTTCCTTAAATCAGAGTTCAACTGCCCAGGAAACCTTAGGCAACAAGTGACACCAGACATGGTTGCAGAGATCAAGTGATTCAGATCACCAACTGAAAAAACCCAGAGACATATCATAAGAACTCTTGGAAATGAATAGCAAAACTGCCATTTCAACAAATACGAAGCAAAACTACCATTTCATCAAATACGACGAAAAACTACCATTTCATCAAAGTAAAGATTTGAGCTCAAATACAGATCTGTAGCAAACCAAAACAAGGCATATATGTTTACTTGCAAAACTATTTTGAACATAAATACCGCATGCCAAGAGAACATAGCATTCAAACTTGCTAAGGATATACAGCAATAATACTAATACGAAAGATCTGGGATAATGCAGCGAGTAACTTACAGCTTGGTGTGGTAAGCTTGAGAGTACGGAAGCAGATGTCATACAGAGCTTCATTGTCAAGAACCATACACTCATCTGCATTCTCCACAAGCTGGTGGACAGACAAAGTGGCATTGTAAGGCTCAACAACAGTATCTGAAACTTTGGGGGAGGGGAAGACGGAGAATGTGAGCATCATCCTATCGGGGTACTCTTCTCTGATCTTAGAGATCAGGAGGGTCCCCATTCCAGATCCAGTTCCTCCACCCAACGAGTGACAGACTTGGAATCCTGCAACGATCGAACCACAACATGTCAGATCTGATGAACAACAAAAACCACTAGATCTACACTTATATAAGAAGATAAACACTCATTTTCGAGGAGAAATGAAACTCGGAACACATTTCATCAAATACCTTGAAGGCAATCGCAGTTCTCGGCCTCTTTCCGAACAACATCCAGAACGGAATCGATCAGCTCAGCGCCTTCAGTGTAATGGCCCTTAGCCCAGTTGTTCCCCGCTCCAGATTGGCCGAAAACAAAGTTATCCGGTCGGAAAATCTGGCCGTACGGCCCAGATCTGATGCTGTCCATGGTCCCAGGCTCGAGATCCATGAGCACAGCCCTGGGGACGAAGCGGCCACAGCTAGCCTCGTTGTAGTACACATTGACACGCTCCAACTGAAGATCAGAGTCGCCATGGTACCTCCCGGTGTCATCAATGCCGTGCTCGGCGCAGACCACTTCCCAGAACTTGGCTCCGATCTGGTTGCCGCATTGGCCGCCCTGAATGTGGAGAATCTCACGCATTTTCTCTGCGCCGGAGAAATCTGACGGAGAAAGAAGAGAGAGATCGGAAGACGGGAGAGGAAATGGAAGAAGCGTTACGAGAGGGATAAGGTAAAGGGGGGGTTTATATGGACGGGAGAGAGGGGAAGATTTAGGGCAAGGGTTAATCGGACGGCGTAGAGAAAAGCATCGTTTTTTTTTTTTGAATTTTGAAATTTGAATTGGGAGAGGAATTAGTAGTACAGCTGTGGCTTGTTTGGCGGATGGAGATGCGTTTATTAACGTATGGAAATCTAACGGTTGGAATTTTACTGAAGAAGACGAAAGCCCATTTAGTTACTATCAGTAAATTATTTTCACGTTGTGGACCAATAGTCCAAGAAAATGATACTCCACTAAAATCTAGGGAGACTATGATCTATCTTCTTTAGTCTTTTTTGGTCACCCAAAAAATATTTCATCATTTCCCGAGTACTTTTTTAAATAATAAAAAAAGGAAAATGATAGGGTACACCAAATCTGTACTCTGAACATCTCCCACCCCCTCCATCACCACACAAAAAGGCAAAAAATTTCAAAAAAAAAGTAAAAAATAAAATGAATGGTGTAGAGACAAGTGGTGTACACCTTTGGTGTGCCCCTACCATATCCCATAAAAAAATCAAGTTTTAATTTATACAACACACATTGACACAAAATGATAATTCCACATTAGTTTAACATTTTGTACCAGTGCAAGACACTAAGAGCAATTACAACAAAATCTCAACTTCTGCCACATAAGCATCCCACTTACTTTTTTGCCTCACCCAAAATCTTGCAATGATATCGCCTTGAAAATTGGCATCTTCATTTCTTTTACATGAACCATCATTTTTAATTATAATTTTTTAAAAAAAACAAAAAATATATCATTAAAATAAAAATGCTAAGATAGATATTCTTATTAAAATTCACATCGATATAAAAAAAATAAAAAAATAAATAAAAAGCATTTTTTGGTGCGGCGAACCGCCTGCAGTGGGCGCCCACCGCGAATTTTAGGTGCAAAAGTGGGCTATCCCCGAATCAATTGCAGCGGAGAGCCAAGCGTGCAGCCCACCGAATCAGTTACAGCGGCAGGCGAGCCCCATATCTCCTTCAAAATCCGTGCGGCGCGACGCCTTTGCATGGATGTAAATGCTCTAATGTACTATGCAAGTAGCATGGTTGATTGAAAAAAATAATTCTTAATTCACGGTTCGTTAGGCGGGATGTTTAGAAAATGGACAAAGAGAAAAAAAACCTTAGGAGTGATGAAGAAGGCGTCAATTGGGACACGATGACACTGATAGAGGAGGCAATGATTTCCTTTTCGGGCATGGAGGACGTTAATGGGAAAATAGCGCACGAAGAAGGGTGGGCAAATGATTTTAGAGCCGCCGGTCAGAACCGAATTGCACGGCTCGAGGAGATCTAGGGGTGCGTCCAAAATTTTATATTTGAAAATGGGGCAAGCCCTTTAGCAAAATGGCTCGAGTCAGTTCTTATAATTTAATAAAACTATAAATATACCAAATACGGAGTAAATCATAGTATACTCCCAACTCAACATTACATTGTTAGCTTTTTCATCAAGTTATACTACTCCATGCGTTCTCAAAAAAAGTTCATAATTTGACCAAGTATAAAAATAAGAAATTGTTAAATTGTAGTAGTTGACTTCCAATTTTGTTATTGATGTGATAGGTAAAAGTAAGATGTGATGAATAAATTAATAAAGAAAAAAATATGATGTGATAGGTATGGTATGAAAAAGTAAAGGTAAACGTGATTCTAATAGAAAGTGTAAGTATTTTTTTGGGAGTGGAAAAAATGGAAGATAAAGTGTTTTTGAAAACGTAAAGAATAATAAATAGGTTCTATGTCGTCTTATATTCAACATTGAATTATATTAATATAATTACATGGATTGGTTTCACGATATATGTAATAATCTATTTTTATATAAGTTGTTTATTTATTTCTCAGTATCTTAAACTAGCTCGTGATTTAATAGAAAAAAATTATAAACTTGTGAAACTGAAGCGTTTGAAACAAGTTGGTTTGGGATGGTTTTAATTTTTTTGACGAATCAGCCCAACCCACCTCGTTTGTTATAAAAACATGTTGGGGTCGGGTCCAATGAAAATCAACTTGATCCAACATGTGTACACCCCTATTCTCTGAGGATGTTCATGTAACAAACTACAAGGATTAATGGAAGTCATATAACAAGCAAAGGAGGATGTTCTCGAGCCATCCATGTCATGAGAATCTTGGTGAAACTAACCAAGGAGGATGTTCTCGAGCCATCCATGTAATGGGAAGTTGGGGCATCAAACGAGTCTCGATCAAGTGAGGATCAACTCAAATGAAGCAAATGATCCAAATGGGTCCCACCTAGCTGTCAGAAACCTACTATACCCTAGAAATAGAGTAATAAAAAAGATATTGATACGGGAGATCTTTCCCGACCTTCAGTACCTTATAGTCTTACTCTTGAATTACTTTTCCTCTTGTTTTATTTTCTGTCTGATCAAGTTCCAACTTGCCCCGTTATTTTTCGGTAATATTTCCAGCATCATTTGTTATACTTTTTAAATATATAAATTTTATTTTAAAATTTTTTACAATAATTTATATAAATTGAATTATATTATACAAAATGTTTTCTTCACTCAAACTTCCAAAAGTGTAACATTAGTCCTATTAAACTCATTGTTAGACCAACAGAAATTCTTAGGGTTTCAACCATGTGCCATTTTTAAAATATATATAAAACTAATGGTACACTTTTAAAATTCATAGAAGAAAACACACATTTTATGAAAAGTATAAGAACTAATAGTGCACTTTAAAAGTTCAGAAGTCAAAACATGCACTTTTTTAAAAGTTTGATGTAAGACAAATTAATCTATGGTCCTTAAGTCTATGCTCATTTTATTGACCTAAACACATAAAATAATTTTATGTAATGGGCATTTTATAAATTAGGAAATCCAACTGCGAGCCCATGAAAAATATGTAAGAAGGTATACATTTTACATTTAAATCTTAGGACCATAATAGAACAACTCTTGGGGTAAAGCACGGACCTTGTTAAAAATTGTTAGAGTACATCCCACATCGGAAAGGGAGCCGCGGAGGTACCCAAGCCGTGGGTAGTAAGGAGTGGTGTAGACGCAGGTTTACACCCTAGCAAACCGGCTTCATGCAAAATATCCATGGCATACTTCCGCTGACATAACACCATCCCAGAAGGGGATTGGGCACACTCAATGCCCAAAAAATAGTTCACTGGGCCCAAACCTTTAAGTTGAAAACAACGGTCCAGGTATCGTTTGAACGAAGAACACATAGAGGCATTATTACCAGGGACCAAGATATCATCAACATAAACCAAGACCGTGAGAATATCCGACCCACGACGAAGAATAAATAGAGTGTGATCTTTATGGGCTTGCTTGAAACCCCATTGGCGAAGTGCAGCACTGAGTTTATGAAACCAATTCCGGGGAGACTGACGCAACCCATACAGAGATTTGCGTAAACGGCATACTTTCCCGGGAATAGAAAACCCAGGAGGCTTGCGCATATAGACCTCTTCAATTAAATCACCATTTAAAAAGGCATTATTCACATCAAGTTGGTGGATCTCCCAACCTCTAGCAACATCCACAGATAAGAGAATACGTACCGTACCCATTTTGGCGACAGGAGCAAAAGTGTCAGTATAGTCTGTACCAAATTCCTGGTGATTACATAAGACAACCAAGCGTGCCTTATCCCGTTCTTTTGTGCCATCAGATCGAAATTTGGTACGATAAACCCACTGACAACCCAAAGCTTTCCGATTAGGAGGAAGATCAGTGATCTCCCATGTATGATTTTTCTCCAACGCATCAATCTCTTGTTGCATGGCAAGACGCCAATTGGCATGGGGCATAGCCTCTTGAAATTTCGTGGCACCTCAGTAGTGGAAATGGCTGCCAAATAACCCTTGTACTTGTCATGTAACTTTCCATAATGAACAAAATTATGTATAGGATACCGGGTACCTGAAGAACGCAAAGAGGAAACGGAAGTAGCAAGGGGAGTCACGGTCCGAGCTGTGTGACAGTAGTAATCAGAGAGGTGGGGAGGGGGTCGGCGTTCACGGGCACGGGGTAACGGAGGAGGGGAGGGTGAGAGCTTATATACCGATTATTTTCTCTTGGATTTTCCGATGTGGGATGTACTCTAACAAAAATAAAGGGACTAATGATGCAATTTTTAAAATTCAAGAGGAAAATATGCACTTTGTATAGAGTTCGAGGGTAAATGGTGCAAAAAAACTCAATATACAAACAAGACATAAGGACATAACAAGATACTTTTTATTTGTCGTGGTCTCATTCTATTTTAAACTGATTTGAGACGAGTTCAGGACAAACTTTATCGTCACGAACAATAGTACAAAACAAGACATCATAGGAATTAGGAACGACACTGCCGGATCGGGATCCTTGTCCACCCCACATGGAGATGAAAATGGCAACAAAAATCGAAAATGGAAAGGAAAATGTTTTATCCGACCAATTAAATTTGGCACTGATGAAATGGTAAAATGTATAAACTAAGGTTTGTCTAAAATTAGAAAACTAATTTGACACAACCTTTGTTTATGAGAAAATGTATGTAGGCATGGAGTACGTGCGCTTTGCAGTCACTTTGAATTGGAGTCCCTTTGAAGCAAGAGATATATTATTGATGCCGTTGTCCTTAGTAAAATTGATGCACATCACATCTTCTCATACAAGTAAGACTGTGGTTTTGTTGTCTGCACATCCACATGCAATTGATGGAATATTACATTATGCTCCCTCACATTTCGAGCATTTGTCCAATTTAATTTTTTTTTGTATAAAATGAAAATTTTTAATTATTAATTCTATTAAATTTATGTTACTTGTTAAAACGATTAGATAATTTTAAAATACTTTTCATAAGATAAAGCTAATCAAAATTATTTTCATAATTCTTTTTTTGAAAACTAACGGGAAAAAAGGTACAAGACAATGACTTTCTAAGGTGTCATTCATTTTAGTACTACACTCGTCCAAACACTTTGGAATTCGGATGGGATCTGGTGCATTAGTATGGTATGATCGTACCCTATTTTCATACTTATATACTTATATACACACTTCACTATTTAAAAATTAAAGGAACTTTTGTTTGTTTGTGTGTTTTCATTGATCATCTGTTTAAA